GCTCTGCTTCAGTAATTTATACCATGGTACACCACAGTAATCTTTATAACAATTAAATTGGCTTTTAGATGCACTCAGAATTGGGACTTCCTTCTTCATGGGCAGCGTACAATGCCTTCTTAATAACTAATGCCTGCAGTACATTTGAGGAAATATACAACATAATGAAAGCCTGGCAAATTTATTAAATGTATTTTTACATGAGGTTCACAGAGAACATCACCAAAGCCTTTATGAACATGAGATCTATATACCACAACAAAGTCTGTAGCGCTTGGCCCGAAAGATTTTGGATACAATTATCTACTGAGAGGGCTAACTGGTCTAAGGTTAAGAAGGAACCGATCCTACTTCAGCGCTTTTAATCAAGATCATTTGTCCTGGCCTTGACAGCTTGGACCAGAGCCTTCACCACAACCTTCCATTGTGCTCCAGCTCTGCCTGTAATGGTTCCTAAGGCAGCATGCTGGCTTTCCTGACAAGCAAGTCACCCTGTATTGACGGTCATTGTCTCTAAGCCAAGCCTCAACTCAGGCAGAAATATTTCAAATCATTCTCAGGCCCAGCCAAGCCCCTAACTACACCAAGCCTATTTATAAAACATATAATAAAGAATACCTTTTGAATTTTTAAAAGCCAAGTTTAAAGCAATCCAAATACTGATTTTGGACTACAGTCTTATTTTTGCTCAATAACAATTTCAATTTAAATTATATAAGTATTTCTGCTCTTTAAAAAACAAATTTGTTTTTCATGATTGTGTGTTGTCAACATAAATGCGGACAAAGTGCTCAATATGATATATTTTTATTTTTATTATTAGTTGTCTTGTTTAGTTGGTTGTCTTAGAAGTATGGTACAGTATCATACATTTAGCAATTAGCAATTCTTAAGTCAAGAATCGCACTGTCCAACTCCAGTGATCCTGACCACTTTGTCTCTGTTAGAGGCAATAGAAATTAGAAAGTTAAAATGTTTTAAAACTATTTGTCAAGTTAAATTTAATTTATTTATTTTCAGTAGGCTTCATATACTGTATGTCTCAATACAACTCTGTGTAACACAGAATGATTTTCTTAAAATTTTACATTGGCAGAAATAGTTTTACATTGACAAATTAGTTATTCAAAATCCAACCACATTTAAGTTACCCTTCTAAATTGCTTAGATTTATTTAGTTTGGATAAATGAGTTTATACTGTAACTGCACACTATAACTGAACACATAACTAGCTCACAGCACTCTTAGTTCTTGGCTTTTATCGCTCTTTTTGATCTTATTAACAACTGCTTTTCAACTTTCTACTTCCAGATTCTACTTCCCTTTTTCTAGACGGATTGGTTCGCATTAACTTTGAAAAGCCTAACAGAGTTATTTGTTAGTAGTACAATTCAATCTTGAGCCAATGTGTTAACAGTCCATAGTTGCTCATCTTGCTAATAGGTCCATGTGTCAACAATCCTGGAGAATTTGCTTCTAAATAATAATAGTTGTGAAGTTGTGTAATTAGTTGCTGTGAAATAAGGAAAACAACTGAGCTGGCAAGCTTGTTTATAGTCCTCAATTGCAATTATGGCATTCATATAAAATGTTTCATGGTGTTCTTTTGCGAGTCTTACTCTTGGAATACCTGAATATTTTGAGCACTAGGTTTTTTTTTCTGAAGTAGGTAGAGGGTCTGAAGGATGAAGGGAAACCTTTAATTAGGTTTTTACTGCTTGCTTTCAGTTTTTACAGCATCATAACATTTTCTCTTTTAACTGTGTCCTTTCCCTGGTCTTCACACCACTCTCATAAATGCTAGTAAAATAAAGTAAATGATGACCTACGCATGCTGCAACTATGGTCATAAGTCAATCGACACAGGTTTCTGGATCACCTGTGTTTTCTGGGACATAGGCACATTGAAAATAACATGTTCTTGTGTTTTTACTGCCTCTCAGTATTCTTTGAGGTGTCACTTTCTACTTAATTCTATGTAATTCCAATTCTTGGAATTTCAGCCATATCCAAGCACAGAATTAGTTGCAGATGGGCCAGGAACATGGCTTTATAAAAGGTGATTTTCCAAAGAAACTGTTGAAAAAAGCCTACATGTCATTACTGGGGTGGGAAAGCTGCAATTCCTGAACCCTTTTTCCATGTTTAATTTTTCATCTGCTTTGTTTGGGTAAGACTCAGAGCAACAATTAGAGAAATAACACCACCTTCTTTGGACACATGACCACTGGCACAGAAAAGCAGAAGTCCTGAAGATCCTTGATGTATCAGGCAGAAGTTACAGTTATTTTAGAGACCACAGCTAGCACTGACCACACAGTGGCCCAGATCTCACCCACACCATGACAGACAGGGCTGCCATGCTTTGTTGTGGCCTGTAAATAGTTCAATGAAAATTCCTGTGCTGGACGGCACAACACCCACACACAGCCAGTGTCTGAGAACTACAAGCCCCTAACCTCAGTGGAAAAATGATAGAGAGTGGGAAAGGCAAAACAGCATAGTAACTGTGTTTTGTAGCTGATTGCGGCCTAAAAATCAAATTACAGTACATGGCAAAGAGTGGTGTCATCTCACTGTTCCTCCATTTCACTCCTTCCCTCAATTGAGATGGCAGAAATACTGGATATGTGATTTTGCCATGCCTGTACCTTCAACTGACTTGCTGGAATCTGTAGCCACACTGAATTTTGCAGTATGCAGTGCCCATCTTGCTGGCTGTAAGCATCCAGATGTTTATAAATGTCTTTTGAGTGGGGCCATCAACCTTTTAACAGATGGCAGTGCCATTTTATTTCCTTTGGATTATGGAGATTGTAAATATTCTAAGTATTCTACAATGCACTGACCTTACTACTCAGTTGCACACTCCTAAAATACATTGCTGCAATCTATGAGAGATGACTTGAATAATCTAGGGATCCCTCGGGGAAGTACATTAAAAACCTGTTATTAAGTTTTTATCCCCATGGTCATGATGCATTAACTTGCTTTGCTTACATTATTTTTAAAATATTGTTATTAAAGGTTCCAAGTGTTATTTTAATTATTGTCACTTATCCATAAGCACCACATGGAACATTTTACACAAGAACATCAGCTTATTTTTATTTTTATACAGAGAAAATAACATCTGGATTCTTTCAGCCTTGTTTGTAACAAAAGCCTAGTGTTCTCCCTATAAACATTTTGTCGGAATGTTATGGTTTAATATTTGAAGTTTATTTTCTCCCTTTTAGTACTATAAATGCTACCCTTGCTTCTTTTTTGAGATGTAAAAGGTGTTTTAAAATGCACACAGATGTTATACTTTGGAACAATTGTGTATGATCTGTATCTGTGTTATGTTTTGAAACGTATACATTCTCAAGGTCTTGCTTTCCAAACTGAAACATCTGCAATCATCAGGGAACCTAAAGCATTTTTAGATAATTTAAGGTAGATTAAAGGTGATTTTGGGCAGTGACAGAGATCATTCTCAAATAAAACCCAACCTTTTTGAAGTATTAATAACTTTTCTGCTTATATTAAAATACACGTGGCCACACTGTGTGTGTGAGGTGAGATGAAAGAGAAACTTCTGACATAATCTTGATCCATAAAGCAAGAATGTCTAAACATTGAACCAAGAGAAGCACAATTGTCACCAGCTTGTTCGGAGGCAAGACAAGATTTGTGACAGGATCAGAAATAGAAGAAATTACTCAAATAACTATTTAAACCCCATATTACATATTATTTTATGATATTCATGTCTTCAAACTATATGTAGTTTACAGACAGGAAAATATTTTATGAAAAATGCCTGCAAATAACAACAAGACAAATATCTTCCATAGGCAAAGTCATGCATTCACAATAAAGCTGAATCACTTTTTATTATACTTTTCTGGATCATAATATTTTTTTTTAGCAAATCAGCATTAAGCTACCATGCTAGATATTCACCTCAGTTGTTTCTGTTGTGGAAATTAGATAATAATCAGGGGAAAGGAAAATAAAAGGGTGGGTGATATAACTTCAAAAAGCAATAAGGAGTGAGCAGGTTTAAATTTAACATGATGAAAATATGGAAATAAAAACAAAGTGAACTCTTTGGATTGTACTTTTAGTTTTCTATACATTCATACGATTACACAACTTTTTTATACTTGTGTATTTAATAATAATGGTTGATATTGTTTTTATATCTGATTTCTTTGAATGCTTGCCTCTTGTCCTTATATGATTAACCTTGTTAGCAGTATTGCAACCCTGTAGCCTGATCCTGTCAGATTTAGTAACTACGTAAGCCTGGGAGATTATAAGGAAATATAGAGTTCATGGACCAGGTCTACCAATTGTCTCCTGGTGTTCTTCCCTCTGGATCAGATCGATGTGCCAGTATGGAGACCAAGGACATTCTGCTGTCCTTCAACTGAGACATAGTCCTGGCCACTTGCTCATTAAAGATCCCATGACGCATAGCAATGTCAATCCTATTTTCCAGGCTAAATTCCATTTTGGACTTGAAATATTTGGCCTCCTGAATTGAACTATTGTAGCATTTCCTTACTTCTCCACCCGATCTGCTTTGCAGTGGATGTCTGGTGTAGAATGATGCCACATGTCACCTAGGTGGGTGCTTCACTTCTGTGGTGGCTGAAAATGGCTCCTCTGATATGTCCAAAGGACATTGGAATACTTCAGAATGGCCAATCATATAAATGTAAAGAATTATATATGTCTGGCTTAGGTAATTCTTGAAAGATCTCCTAACTGACATTTTGATCCATGACATCCATGATGTTGCTCCCCTTGACTAAAGAAGGGTCACTGTCAAATGTTTGGCCTTAGAATGGTAGGTTTGACACTTCCTATCCAGGCAAAGCAGACTGGGCACTCAGAAGTTTGCTTCTGGATGAGATAGGTTACTCTTGAATAAAGATAGGTTAAGAAAGTACTTGTACTCTAAGGTGATAAATAAATGTGTTAATTTGTATACCTTTTCTTGTTTCAGGGTAATAGCTCAGGCTTCGAAGAACCTCATGTCAACTCAGGGCCTGGGCATTGTTTTTGGACCAACTCTCCTATGGCCTGAACTCGACTCGGGGAATATGGCAGTGGACATGGTGTACCAGAATCAAATAGTGGAACTGATACTAACAGAATGCACAGAAATCTTTGGAGATAAATAAATCTAAAATAAGTACTATGAGAACAAGGACACACCTAATGGGAAAAATCTACTTGACGTATGTGGTCATTTTGTAAATATGACCAGACAAGCACAATAACTAAAATGGGTTTAGATGATAATGGATATATTTGAGTGTGTAATTTGAAGTGTACATTTAAAAAGCATTCCATTGTAGATTAAATTGATTTGTGTTATTTCATATTTTTTAATATCAACACTGTGTTGGTATAAAATGATGAATTGAATTTTGCATATCTACATGTTTGAATATAAAACAATATATTTTAATTAACTTTTACAGCTGAAGAGTATTTGGTTGTCCCAAGGTGAGGGATGAATGTGAGAGTGAAAATAAGATTTGCAGATACAGAAATAAATAATAGATACAGATGTAACAGAGCACTGAGTATTTTACAGAGGTGATGCCCAACCACACCCTTAAAATCTAAACAGTGCAGAGTTCTCCCTTGGCTGGAGTCCCAGTCTTTCAGTGTGGTGGAGTTGACCGTTGTATAGGGAGCAGCGCTGTGTCTGCTCTGAGCTCGCAAGCAGCTGGATGAATCCCACGGGGGCAGACACGATTTCTACCAGAAAGACATTGATTTCATAACCCCTTCAGAATAGGCTGATTGTTTCAAGGGATAGATGACACACCACACAAGTGTTCCAAATTCTGTATGGACCTGATGCATTTCAAGATTTCTGAACCCTTGTCAGGAGCATAAGAAGAAAATTGAGATAAAGGATGGAAAGAACATAAAAACTTTTATTTTGTATAAAATTCCTTTGGTCAGATATGACCCACAATGGAATAGTGGGGTGCAAAATTATGAACTCTAATTATAGCTACATGAAAGAAATGACTGGGTCGACATCAGTTGTTCTAATAAAGTACAGAAATCTACAACTCTTAACATGCCTTTTTTAGATGTTCTAAAAACTCTCCAGTTTTGAGGCTCAAATATGTTGCGGCCACCTGTTTTAAATTTTCAATGGTCACAACATTTGAATTGTTGGTACAGCTTAGTTGGTGTGCAGTCTACCTCTGTATTCCACATCTTTAAATTTTTTTCACCTCCTTCTGATAGGATTGAAATTATCAGTTTCCTATGGAAGCCCGTTTCCACCAGGGAGTAAAAAAAAAACGAGCTATGGTACCTCAGAATTCCGACTTAGCGAGGCATGAACTAGGGTGGGAGCGGCGAGGGCACAAGCCCTAGAACCCGAATCCGTTATAATAACAAAAGGACAGACAATGAAATATGGCTATTTCGAAGTCACAAATATGAGATATAAAGTCGGAATTCTGAGTTACTAAGTCGGAATTCTGAGTTACTAAGTCGCAATTCTGAGATACTAAGTCGGAATTCTGAGTTGCTAAGTCGGAATTCTGACTTACTAAGTCGGAATTCTGAGTTACTAAGTCGCAATTCTGAGATACTAAGTCGGAATTCTGAGATACCGTAGCGCAGTTTTTTTTTACTCCCTGGCAGAAACGGGCTTCCATAGTTTCCAGAACATCGGTTGATCTGACATGAACTTTTGAAAATTGTGTCTTGAGAACTACACATCTCCTGAGAATGCAGAGATAACATTCTAGTGATATAGATGATGTCTCCCAATACTAGCAATGCTCAATTTGTTGTTATCATGCTACACATATTTTAATTTAGAATTACAAATTGCACTCCTACCTTATTTTGCAATTCAATTTAGAACTTTAAAAACAAACTGAGAAAAGTTTTTGCTTTTTTGGGGAAGACAGCAATTAGATTTTCAAGATTGGCATCCCCTGTGTGTACAGTAGCACAAAATATACAGTATAAACAGTAGGTTTTCAATGTAAAGGCTGTCATTGCTCCAGGTCGTGTATGCAGTATTTATATTATTGTGAGCTCAATAGGATTTTATTTTTCTATAGTATTTTAGAATTTTTACTTAGTCATGTGAAATGTTACGATGTCTTAGTTTTGTTAGCCAATATTAGGAGTCAGAAAATAAAGGACAATTTGCCACTTCTTAAGAGAAAGTAGAAACACCCATGTTGTGGTTTAAATATGGAACTATCCCATTATGAACAGAACGTATATTCACCCTACCTAACATTGCAGAAATCTTTTCATTCTGTAGTGAGATGTATGAAGATTACTGTGGAAACTCATGTTTTCCAACATGTTTTTCAAGAGTAAAATTCTCTTCCCATTTATTGAACATAACTGTCAAAACTAAAGTTCTATATATATATAAATATATTAATGTAACAAGTGACACCTGAATCTTGGAAAATAATTAGAATAGCTTATTTTCTCCCAAATAGTTTCAGGACCTAGTTAAAGTTTAGAGATTAAAAAAGTTGGGAAAACTTTAAAGAGGAACAAAAAGCTTTTAAAGATGTCTTTTCATTTTATTCACAAATGCAGAACTTGTTATCACACAAAATCAAATAAACTGATTTGTATATCAATGTGTCTCAATGTCCTTTGTTTTTGACGATTTGTTACTCAGAACGTGTAAAGAGAAGAGTTTTCTGGTTTTTAAGGAAGCATCTTTTATCAAGCTCACTGCCCCTGAACTGAGAAGTGAAGGTCAGATGTAATGCAAACAATGCAGAGAAAAGGACAGATCACAGCTGACTGGACCCGGGATAGAGACTGGCTACTGGGACATCGAAATTGACTTCCAGGGTTTGGAAGGAGCAGGGGCTGGTGAATGAGATGAAAAAGTATTGTCTAGATACAGTCTTGCCTCTATAAATATCATTGGCTCTGGAAGTTTCTCAATCAAGGGCAGTCTCTTCCCTACTCCAGAGAGGCCAAATGGGGCAGCTCTGGGCAGGTGCGGGGATACTCGCTGGCTAGTGCTGGTGCAGGCGAAGTTTGCCTGGTCATCTGGGTCTCTGAGAGGAAAACCCCAACAGAAACTTAGAGGAGACAATTTGACCTTCACAGAGCTAGAGGGAGTTCTGTGCTCAATAGGATTCCACCTACTTTCTCTGTAGTTCTACTGCGGGAGACATCAGTGCTTTCAAGGAGAATGAAGGAGATACGTGGAGCAGGGGAGAGCAGCAATTGGAAAAAACAAACTACCCTATCTGAAAATGGTTAATTTTCTTGGACATTTGTGATTGTAATGGCTTGTCCATAATGAACACCTTATTCAAATACAAGGTTTCCTTTAGGTGAACCTGGTATCAGAGTACTATGGGCCAAAGACCAATGATTGACTTCATAGTCGTATCATTGTACTTATGCTGTAGGTTCTGGACACTCAGGTGAAGACAGTGGCTGACAAATCCACTGAACCCTGAATGGATTTGGGTTCTCGTGCTTGTGCCTTCACTGCTCCCACCCCAGTTCGTCCCTCACCACATGGGCTCGAACTTGGGTCTCCAGCATCAACAGGAGTCTTGCCAGCTGAGCTAAAGAAGACCTTCCTCAGCCTGGGTGGCCAATATCCCTCTTATGCACAGGGGAGTATTCATTACAATGATTAGTGCAGGTTGCCCTGGAGCACCTGTTGAATAAACCAGTGTGGAACGATTTTTACTCACATCTATGGAAATGCTCCTCTTATACCCTGTATGAGGTCTTGGACATTTAATATAATACCATGTTCAGAGCCTGAATCAACAAACAAAATATCAAAAACAGCTATGGCTTGAGTGCAGTTGGTATCTGTCATGCTAACAAGGTGATGGAAGCTGTAATGTAGATGAAGGAATCTCCTGCAATCTCAGCAATGTTATTGAATTGATTTACTGATTTGGCTAAGACATACGAGATGGTTAGGAGGACTGCTGTCACGGGAGCCAGTTCTGACTCTGGCTCCCGTGAGTGCCTAGTAAAGACCCTATGCAAGATGGTATAATCCAGAAATGACTGGAGTAGGACAACAGGGAAAACACAGCTGGAAAAGGAAGGGATGACAGACAGGGGGACGGTGACGGCAGTGATCTGGTGCTCGGGGGGCGAGGTGAAGGTAAACAAGTCCGAAATTGTCCAAAGGGAAAACCAGGGCGAAGTCCAAAAGCCAAAGCTGGGCGGTCCATCAGAGACAAAGACAAGGTACATTGAACTTGGAACCAGGAACACGGAAGTTAAAATCTTAACGGGACAAGGCGCTCTAAGCCCCATACTAAGGAGGTCAGGACACCATGGTGAAGCCTATGCCCGCAGGGGCTTAAATAGGGGATAGGGGATGAGTCACAGGTGAATGTACTAAACTAAAAACTAGTACGTAAAGGATAGGAGTACCCTCTAGAGGAGGGATGAAGACCATGACAACTGCAAATCCCAGAATTAAGAGGAGTTCAGAGATACCATGGAAAATGACTACTGGATTGCCTCATGGGTGATTTGATAAACCATTAGTTGCCTTAGTAGAATTTTAGGAATTCTATAGCTGGATATTGCAGGGCTGTTCTCAGAGAAGATGGAAAAAACATTGACCTTGACTGAGGTGATTGTTGAGAGGATGTGGAATGGACCTTGAGCAACTATGCCCTCCTTATAGGAGGTACTTTTGGAAACATCCAGTGCAATTAGATCTAGAATATCACTGTTGCTGAGGGGGTAAAGTACAACATTGGCATTATGTGGCTCTAAGATGGTAAATTGGTCTTGTAATCCCCATCTCTAGGGGATATATCTCTAGCTATAGCAGGAACTACATTCCTTGGCCTCCTCATCAAACCTATGCCAGAGCTGTGAGCACGATGTTCTAAAGAACCAGAGATTCAGGGAGAACAAAGGGGATTTTGTTACAGCGATGGAGCAATAAATCAGATTTTTGCTCTTTTGCAAATATTCAGGGGGTCATGCGAGTTTGCCAATCTGATTTACCTTATTTTTGTAGGCCTGGGAAAGGTTTTTGAATTCATTCTTTGAAATGTTGCATAATTATGATGTGGAAAGGTTTCATAATACTGTTTTTATAATCCACTCTTATATTCATGGATTAAAAACTGTGTCTATATTCTTGGCATTAAGTTGATTTCGTTTAACGTGGGCATTGGACACAAGATGTCAAAAGTATGTCTTGGTTCTATTCATGTTCATCGACAGGATATCATGCTGTAGCCAAGGAATGGAGAGAATCTGGTTTGGAGACCTCACTTATTTGAAAATGTTGTGTTTAGTACCTCATCTGACTGTTATCTCCAGCGAACACTTGATGTAATTGCTGCCAAGTGTGAAATTCAATTCAAGTAGCTCAGTTCATCAGTTCATGGCGCTTGGTATGGCACACCTCTGGATTGGGTAGAGCCTGAAGTGCAGGTGGGAGGCGGGGTTATGTTTGAGTTCTACTGGACACTTACGTGTGGGCAGAGACCTTGAAATCCACACAGGACACACTGGAGGAACTATAGTATATCCATCAACAGTCCTGGGAAGGTTCGGGAATTTATCAGGTGATTTTGAACTCCTTCCATCTGGGCGTTGATTTAGACTAGATTTTTTCCTTCACGTCATGTTGTTTTAAATGTGTTGTGTTATGTCATTTTACCTGCCTGCAAAGCAAATGTCCAATATCGAGCAATGAAAGGAAGTAAGAGAAACTGGAATATGTTGCAGAGGAAAGAATGCTTGGTGTTATTTAGTTGCCAAGTTGCCAACTGCTCTCTTGACCTCAGTAGGACAAGTGAATTGAGATTCATGCATGGATGCATTTATTAAATGCATAAGAGCAAACCGATAATAACCGATAATACTGTCACACAGTATGAATACCACTAAAATATGACAAACCCAATTAATGTCTTAAAGGGATTGGATGAGATGTAAAACAGAGGTCATGACTCTCTGTGGTCATTAAAAATCCCAGGGTGTTTCTTGAAAAGAGTAGGGGTGTAACCCCGGCGTCCTGGCCAAATTTCCCATTGGCCCTTACCAATCATGGCCTCCTGATAATCCCCCTCTATGAACTGGCTTCATTACTCTGCTCTCCTTTCCACTGATAGCTGTGTGGTGAGCATTCTGGCGCACTATGGCTGCTGTTACATCATCCAGGTGGGGCTGCACATTGGTGGTGGTGGAGGGGAGTCCCCATTACCTGTTAAGTGCTTTGAGTGGAGTGTCCAGAAAAGCACTATATAAGTGTAAGCAATTAATTATAATTAATTAATTACATGTTGTCATTGCTGCAGTTTTGCACTCTCCTTTATCCTTTATTAGAAG